AAAGTGTGAGAGAATTTACAAACTATATATTGGATTGCTTAAAAGATTTGTTTTAAGCCGGGCAGTGGTGGCGCACGCCTTTAATCCCAGCATTCGGGATGCAGAGGCAGGCGGATCTCTATGAGTTCGAGGCCAGCCTGGACTACCAAGTGAGTCCCAGGAAAGGTGCAAAGCTACACAGAGAAACCCTGTCTCGAAACCCCCCCCCCAAAAAAAAAAGATTTGTTTTAAAATAAAATTATCAGCTGGGAGTGGTAGTGCACGCCTTTAATCCCAGCATTTGGGTGGCACAGGCAGGCGGATCTCTGTGAGTTCGAGGCCAGCCCAGTCTACAAATTGAGTTCCAGGACAGCTAGGGCTCTTACAAAAAGAAAGCTAAAAAAAATAAATAAATAAATAAATAAATAAATAAATAAATAAAAATAAAATAGAAAATAAAATGAAATTATCTTGTATTTTATATGTATGAGTATTTTGCCTGTATGTATGTCTGTACACCAGAAAAGGCCCTTGGATACCCTAGAACTAAAGTTACAGATGGTTGTGAGCTGCCTTGGGGTGCTGGGAACCAAACCCAGGTCCTCTTGAAGAGCAGCCAGTACTCTAACCCTGGAGCTGTCTGGCCCGGCCCCTTTCCTTATCTTTCTGAGAATAACAGGGTAAGACATGGAGAGTAGAGCACAGGCCTAGCATGTGAAATACCTTGGTTTGCTCCCTCCTTCCACAGGAAACAGGAGCGTAAACTACTCCTTGCTACATATTAGCAAGTTTGAAAGAGACCTTTTAAGCTGGGTGTGGTAACTTACACGCCTTTAGTCCCAATGCTAGAGAGTCATTAGCTGGTAATGGACTGAATGAGTTCCAGGACAGACCGGGCTACACAGAAAAACCCTGGCTCGGGGAAACAAAGAAAAAACAATAACAAAAGAAACATTTTATATCGACTTACGTGTAATTGGATACAATAGCTTATATTAAACTGACAGAGGAGGGGAACCCCACTTACTTTGCAGAACACCTCAGTGGATTAGGTAATTGTACAGTATTTTCAAATGCAATGTGGGTTTTATTGATTTACAGTTTTCCTCTCAAAGATGGCGCAGAAGAAATATCTTCAAGCAAAATTGACCCAGTTTCTAAGGGAAGACAGAATTCAACTTTGGAAACCTCCATATACTGATGAAAATAAAGAAGTTGGTTTGGCCTTAAAGGTATTTTTCTTTTAATATGTAAATCTTTTGTACTGTCATAACTTCTTAGTAAATACTATTCTGAAGTCACCAGAAGTGACCAGGACAGCTGTGAAAACGCTGAGAAGCACCAAAACCTTTAGTAATGAACAAATCTCATTTAAATTTAATTTAATTTTTAAAAATTAAATTTAATCTTTTTCAGCACTAAAGGTAGAACCCAGGACTTCACACATGCTAGGCAAGCTTTTTGTTTGTTTGTTTGTTTGTTTTGTCGAGACAGGGTGGGTTTCTCTGTGTAGTTTTGGTGGCTGTCCTGGATCTTGCTCTGTAGCCCAGGCTGATTAGGCAAACTTTTTACCACCAAGCCACACCCCAGGCTGTGACTGGCATTTCATTCTTATGAGAATGCTGCCTGATTCTCTGGGTATTGTATTAGTCACCTTAACTTAGCTAGGGCAAACTAAGTTCTAAAGAGAAAAAGGTTATTGGGTTCATGGTTCTGAAAGTTCCTCAAGCTTGAGTGGTCGTGAAGCCTCAGGACTTTGGCAAGGGTAGCACACTGTGACAAGCCTCAGGGCAAAGAGGAGGACAGTGCTGCCAGTCCTGTGAAGCACAGCACACACACTCAGTACATGCACAGCACGGACCGTCTCATGATGAGAGCAGCAGATGACTGCAAACCAGCCCTGGGGAGGTTAGAGTGAGCTCCAGCCTCTCTGAATCAGTTTACTGTGAAGTAGTGTGGGAGTCAGCAGCAACCTCAGACTCCTGCAAATCACCAACCAGCTGTGAGCCAAACTCACAGCTCAGGCACATCACCCAACCACACACATATCTCAGAGCATCCCCAGTGGTGAAGGAAATTTCTCACCTGAACCAGGAAACTGAAAGGAAGGATGTGGTCCTCAAGGACCTCACCACCACCTGCCAATAGTGCCACCCTGGGCATTAAGCTTTTAACTCAGAGGCTTTGGAGATATTCAACCCTTGGCATGTATGTGCTACTTTTAATGCCTTCTGAACTTGCTGGCTATGGTGTCTTGGCTTGAGAACTAGTGAGACATCATAAAGACACTGGCCTTATTTCCAGTTCCTGTGAAAGCTAATATCAGGAGCATCTTGCATCCTAATGAGGCATGGTGGCCCTAGTAGCTTGGGGGAGGGATGGTTGCCAGAAGGAAGAAGCCTTGATCAGAAGCTTGACCCTTTCTGTCCCACCCTCCAGCCACAGAGAGGAAAGGCTAATCATGGCTTTCAGCACCAGTGGCACGGGATTTAACCAGTCAAGGCTGATAGCAGGCCTCCATTACAAATATGTAAATGATGGGCTCCAAGATTCCTACTCCAAACACTTAGGAGCTGGGAGGGTAGGTAGCTCACTCTGGGGTAGGGACATCCCCCAGGGCCCTTGGGAACCTCACACTGTCCCTGTGATCTCTATTCTCTTGTAGCCTTTGTGGGAAACTAGAATCCCAGAACTTGTTCTGAGTCATTGTAGCAAACTGTCAAACATGGGAACCCTGTACTTTGTAGCCAGTCAGTGAGGGTTACCTGGAGACCGCATGCTTGGCACCTGGTGCTGGACATGAGGATACACCCTGAGACCTGTGGAGTGGAAGCCTGGGTAGTGATTATCAAGGGCAAGTTGAACTGTTGAGTTAATGTCAGCATCACCAGCTGTGGTACTTTGAATGTCATTGGCCCCCATAATCTCATGCCTCTCTATTGAGAGGTGTGGCCTCGTTGAAGGAAATATGTCACTGTGGGGGTGGGCTTTGAGATCTCTTTTGCTTAAGCTTTACTCAATGTCACAGTCAACTTCCTGTTGCCTTTTAATGAAGATGTAACCAGCACCATGTCTGCCTGCATGCTGCCATGCTCCCTGCCATGATGATAAGCTGCCACCACAACTAAATGTTTTCCTTTATAAGAGTTGCCATGGTCATTGTGGCTCTTCACAGTAATAGAAACCCTAACTGAGATACCTGCTATCAGGAGAAAAATATGCCCTTCCTAGGTAATTAGGTTTTGGTGGTTGGTAGGTTGGTTTGGTGTTCTGTTTTGGCTTTTTGAAACAGTTTTTACACAACCTAGACTGGCCTCAAACTCCCTAGGACTTGGACTCCTGATGTCCCCTCTCTGCCTCCCGAGTGTTCAGATTGCAGATGTGCTCTACCATGCTCGGGGGCACTAGAATTTAGATTTTTTTTCTACATTTATTTATTTTTAAAGATTTATTTATTATGTATACAGTGTTCTGTCTGCATGTACACTACAGACCAGAAGAGGACGCCAGATCTCGTTATAGATGGTTGTGAGCCACTACGTGTTTGCTGGGAATTGATTGAACTCAGGACCTCTGGAAGAACAAGCAGTGCTCTTAACCACTGAGCCATCTCTCTAGCTCTCTCCAGCCCCCACATTTATTTATTTTAATGGGTGGTGCATATGGGGAATTGAGGACTGCCTTCAGGAGTCAGTTATCTCCTTCCACCATGTGGACTCTGGAGAACGAAAGGTTCTCAGCCTTGGTGGAAGAGACCTTGCCTGTTTGAGCCATTCTACTGGCTCTGAAATTGATTATTAAAGTATTTTACTTTTAAAACTTTCATGTTTTGTAGTGATAAAAATGATATGTATTTCTGGGTTAAAAATAAATAGAGCTGAGCCTATTGGTAAACACCAGAAATCCCAGCACTCCAGTGGCTGAGGCAGGAGGATTACCAGGTCAAGGGCAGTCAACTTGTAAACACAGTCATGCCTTCACCACTGGGGATGCTCTGAGATGTGTGGTTGGGTGATGTGCCTGAGCTGTGAGTTTGGCTCACACCTGGTTGGTGATTTGCAGGAGTCTGAGGTTGCTGCTGACTCCCATACTACTTCACAGTAAACTGATTCAGAGAGGCTGGAGCTCACTCTAACCTCCCCAGGGCTGGTTTGCAGTCATCTGCTGCTCTCATCATGAGGCAGTCCGTGCTGTGCATGTACTGAGTATGTGTGCTGTGCTTCCCAGGACTGGCAGCACAGTAGGCTTGCACATACCAGCATCACTATAGACATGCAACATGGACATTAAGCTGGCCACTTCCAGGTATGGAGAAATAAATGGCTCAGCAGTTACGAGGCTCACAACTGCCTGTAACTCAAGCTCCAGGGGATCTGTTGCCCTCATCTGGTCTCCACAGGCCCCTGCATATACATGTATACATACATATATAAATAATGAAAGTAAGCCTTTTTTAAAACAACCACTTCATTACTGGGGAGAAGGAATTTTTTAGTTGCATTGTGCATTGTATCTTATGAGGTGTCTGACTTACATTTGGTCCATCATTGATCAAAGCATAGTTATGTAGCACGTGAATATTCTTAAATACAGAAATATAAAGAAGATAATTTATGCCAGGTGGTGGTGGCCCATGCCTTTAATCCTAGCACTCTGGAGGCAGAGGCAGGCTGATCTCTGTGAGTTCCAGGCCAGCCTGGTCTACAGAGTGAGTTCTAGGACAGGCATCAAAACTACACAGAGAAACCTTGTCTCAAAAGACAAACAAACAAACAAAAGACAGTTTTATAAACCAGACATGGTGAGCATGCCTGTTTTAGCACTCAGGGAGGATACAGGAGGATCAGAAGTTCATGGTCATTCTAGGTTGGCCTCAAATTTGCTATAGGTAGCCAATGACTATGTAGCAAATTTGAGACCAGCCTAGAATATATGAGATCCTATCTCAAAGAATTATGTATATATTAAAGATTTGTTTATTATGTATACACAGTGTTCTGTCTGCAGAACACTTCTGTATCCCTGCAGACCAGAAGAGGGCACCCAATTGCATTATAGATGGTTGTGAGCCACCATGTGGTTGCTGGGAATTGAACTCAGGACCTCTGGGAGAGCAGTCAGTGCTCTTAACTGCTGAGCCATCTCTCCAGCTCCAAAAAATATATTTTTAAAAATATAGTAAACATTGGGGTTGGGGATTTAGCTCAGTGGTAGAATGTGCCTGCCTAGCAAGCGCAAGGCCCTGGGTTTGGTCCTCAGCTCCAAAAAAAAAAAAAAAAATAGTAAACATCATTGATATGGGTATATTCTTCCCATCTCCTCCTAATGACTATTTAAAATGTTTTATGAATAGGACTTTGTCACCAAAAAAACAAAAACCCTCAACAACCAAATAAAAAGGAAGGTTATTTAATCTGTCTTGATCTCACACAGTTTGAAAAATTAGAATGTTTTTTTCTGTTTTAAATTTTTTCCCATCCAATGACAGTTTTAAAAGGTTTTTACATTTTTATGTGTGAGTATTTTACTGCATGTATGTATATGCACCTCATGTGTGATTAGTACCCTTGGAAGTCAGAAAGAGAGAGGACATTGGATCCCCTGGATCTGGAGTTGCAGACGGTGGTGAACTACCATGTGGGTGTTAAGAATCAAACCCAGGTCTTCTGTAAGAGCAACAAACGCTCTTTACCACTGAGCCATCTCTCCAGCCTCCACGACTTAAAGAAATTGTGTGTGTGTGTGTGTGTGTGTGTGTGTGTGTGTGTGTGTGTGTGTACACGTACGTACATGCATAAACCACGGCATATTTGTGGAAGTTAGAAGTCAATATGGGACTTGCTTCTCTCCCACCATGTAGGGCCCAGAAATTGAACTCGAGGCGCTAAGCAAGTGCCTTTACATGCTGAGCCATCTCGACAGCCCTAGTTCACTGCTTCGTAAAGTAATTTTAATATCTTTAGGTCACAAGAGTCTCAGCCCTCCTCTCTGTCCCCTGGAATAGCCCAGTTACTCTCACTTTGCCTTCTGAGCCTATTTTCACTGTTGTAAATGTTTTAATTTCTCTCTGAATCCTCCCTGAAAGCCGAGATTGCATTTCAGTACAATGGCGGCTTCCCTTGTTGGAGGAATGTCGCTTTGGGATTTTTTTCGTTTACTATTCTGCACTGGCACTCTGCTGAGCTGCAGTCTCTGGTTTCCCCTCATAGGACCTTGCTAAGAAGTACTCTGACCGTCTAGAGTGCTGTGAAAATGAAGTGGAGAAAGTAATAGAGGAGATCCGTTGCAAAGCCATTGAGCGCGGCACAGGGAATGAACACTTCCGAACAACTGGGATTGCCACAATTGAGGTGTTTCTGCCGCCAAGACTCCGGAAAGTGAGTAACTGCCCAGGGCGCATTGAGACCCGCTTAGTGCTGTGATCAGGTTTTGGTGTGGGTTTGTTTGGTTTGGTTTTGTAAATCTACAAGCAGAGTGCTTAAGGAAGTCCGCATGTTGAATGGTTGATGATGCAGACTTACCCTGGTAGATTTAAGGTAGGCTTGTTCAAAGCGTCAGTCACAGAAGTGGGCATGATAGTGCACATTGTAATTTCAGCACTTGGGAGGCAGAGGCAGGAGGATCCTGGGAGTTCAGGGTTATCCTCAGCTATGTAGTGAGTTTCATGCATATCCAGGCTGCATGAAAAACATGCCTTAAAAAACAAAAACAGTGTCACATGGGCCAGTGAGATGGCTTAGCAGGTAAAGACTCTTATTGTCAAGCCAAAGACAGGGGTGTATTCCTCAGAACCCAAGTGGTAGAAGGAGAACTGACTCCTATGGGTTGTCTTAGATCACAAGTGCTCTGTGGTGTGACTGCTGAATAAATAAATGTCATTTTAAAAATGAAAACAAACCCTCATGTACAGAGCTGTATGGTAAGTTTGTACCTTTTCTAGTTTAATGCTTACAGATACTGACAAGTAGGGCTGGAGAGATGGCTCAGAGATTAAGAGCACTGGCTGTTCTTCCAGAGGACCCGGGTTCAGTTCTCAGCACCCACAGTACAGCTCCCAGCCATCTTTAACTCCAGCCCCAGGGTGGTCCAGTGCCCCTCCTGTAGCTTCCTTGGGCATTGCACACATATGGTACACAGACATACATGCAGGCAAACACCTATGTGTGTAAATTAAACGTGAAGGAAAATAAACTTTCAATATCAATAAGTCAAAGTAGACAGCATGGAGGGCAGGGGGTAGTCAGCTGAGTGCTGAACAGGGCTGACCTGACCTGAGTGTATAGCCCCCTGTCGCAGGGCCTCATCCTCAGGTAGTACATTTGTCTGGCATGTTTCCTGTCGCAGGGCCTCATCCTCAGGTAGTACATTTGTCTGGCATGTTTCCTGGCAAGCACTTTGCAGCCCTTCTCAGAACCACACAATGTTGACCATTCTCAAAGTGAAAGTAGGTACTTCAGAATGTGTACATGGGCAGGTGAGGTGGCTCAGCAGTTAAAATGCTTGCCAGAGCCCAGGCGGTGGTGGCACATGCCTTTAATCACAGCACTCAGGAGGCAGAGCCAGGTGATCTCTGAGTTCGAGGCCAGCCTGGTCTACAGAGCAAGTTCCAGGACAGCACCAAAACTACACAGAGAAACCCTGTCTCAAAAAAACAAAAAAAACAAAACAAAACCGAGAAAAAAAAAATGCTTGCCAGAAAGCCTGATGACTTCATTGTGATTCCCTGGTAGCCGCATAAAGGCAGAAAGAGAAACCTGATACCACAACCTTGTCCTCTGACCTCCACATGTGTGCCATGGCACACCCACATGTCCCCTCTGCCCCATCATAACAGACACACACACACACACACACACACACACACACACACACACACACACTTTTTTTAAAGCAAGGAAAAACAAAGCACTTGTATATGGGACTGGAGATGTGGCTCATGTCAGTAAAAGTGCCTGCCATGCCAGCATGAGGCCCTAAGTTCTGATCCCTAGAATCCATGTAAAAAGCCAGGTATGTGAGGGTTCCTGGAACCCCAGCCCTGGGTGGTACAGGCTTACAGGGATGTGGATGGATCCCTGAAGCTCATTGGCCAGTGAATCAATGAGAGACTCTATTGAAGTAAAAAAAAAAAAGAACTCTGAGTCCGAGGCCAGCCTGGTCTACAATGCAAGTTCAGGACAGTCAGGGCTACACAGAGAAACCCTGTCTCGGGGGAAAAAAGGAAGGAAGGAAGAAGAAAAGAAAGAAAAGGCAGAAAGTAATCAAGACCCCTCCGGGTTTCCCACATGTCACACAAGCACATCCACAATAACAAGTACAACCAACACACACCAAATATTATAAGAATAAACTGACTGGTGAGCATTCACAGTAGCACCATTCATAATGGCTAAGGTAGAGACAATCTAACTTCCATCAGTGGGTGTGTGGATAAACAGATACACCCACACCACAGAAGACAGCTGGTGGTACAGATACACAATACTAATAGTTTATAATATGAGCAAACCTCAGAAACGTGCCAAAAAAAAGGCCTGATGCTATGTGGTCCTGCTTCTGTGAAGTATCCAAAACAGACAACTTGGTAGACAGAAAATAAATGGTTGCAAGGCTGGGAAGTAGAGGGATGGAGTGTAGGACATGGTGCCTGGTAACGGATGATGATGGCAATGTTCAGAAATTCCATTAAACATTTTCTTCTCGTAAGATTTTATTTTTAGGGGGCTGGAGAAGATGGCTTAGAGGTTAAGAGCACTGCCTACTGTTCCAGAGGTCCTGAGTTCAATTCCCAGCAACCACATGGCTCACAGCCATCTGTAATGAGATCTGGTGCCCTCTTCTGGCCTGCAGGCATACATAGAGGCAGAATGTTGTACACATAATAAATAAATAATCTTTTTTAGAAAAGATTTTACTTTTAATTGTATGTAAATATGTGTCTCTGGGCTTGTGCATGTAAATGAAGTACCTCTAGAGGCCAAGAGTAAATTGTATCCTCTGGGCTGGAGTTACAGTCAGGTGTGAGTGTATGCTGGGAAGTAAGCTCAGGTCCTCTGTAAAAAAAGTATATGCTGGCAGGGCGGTGGTGGCGCACGCCTTTAATCCCAGCACTCAGGAGGCAGAGGCAGGCGAATCTCTGTGAGTTCGAGGCCAGCCTGGTCCACAGAGTGAGTTCCAGGAAAGGCGCCAAAGCTACACAGAGAAACCCTGTCTCGGAAAACCAAAAAAATAAAAAAAAAGTATATGCTTTTACCACTGAGCCATCTCTCCAGTGTTATGAATTGCGATTATAATGATGGCTGGCCATGTGACAAGTCCCACTGAGCACTCCTACCTATTGCACTCAAGGTCACTCTATATCGGTCTGTGCTGGACTGTGTTCAACATGCTTCCCTGTACAGGCAGTACTTTGGTCCTTAAGTGGAACCCCGAGTTCACATCCTCTGACAGCACCTCACAACCTCACATGCAGGGTAGCAGTTCAAAGAAGTGTCACACTCAAGTGCATTTTGTTTTGTGTCATTTTGCAGCAAGACAAGAAAAGCTTGTTGGAGACCCGCTTGCATGTTACTGGTAGAGACCTGAGGTCTAAGTGAGTATCTGAGCTATGTCTCCCAACAGGTCTGCCCCTGTTACCCTGGTTCACTGAATGCTCTCGAGCTGTCTTGTAAGCTGGCCCATCCTCCCCTTATAGCCAAAGAAATGAAACCTGGAGGGTGGGACAAGAAAGAGGTTTTGCTGGCCTCACCCTGCTGAGTCAGAGGCAACATGGCTGCCTGGGTGAGGCCTGCTCATGGGAGCTTCTTGAATGCAGTACAGCTTTCAGAGGGTTGCAGCCTGGGGCCCACAGAGGAGGTGCCCAACTTGTACCTGAGTGAGTGGCTGAGGAATTGGAGGAGCCGTCCTTGCACTGAGCAGAGCATGTGTTTCATAATTCCATTCTTTTCAGCACTGATTGCTTGCTCTGACCTTCAGCAAAGGCCAGCCGCCCCGGGGGTTCTTCAGCTGATTGTCTCATTACTTTAGCTTCCATCAGGGGCACTGGAGAATGAGGAAGCATCACTTCAGTGGTACAGGATAGCAGCCCTAGTTACAGGCTTCTCAGAGGATGCTGTGTAGTATGGCAAGGATGGTTTTTGACACCTGCTCAGATGGACGACAGCCCTGTAGTCCTCAACTTGGAAACGAGTTTAGAAAGGGCTTGGCTCGTGGCTTCCAGCAGCCGCTCACTGTACCAGCTTTACTGTAGTCGTGCTTACTGGTCAGTAGGTGGAAAGCCTGGCTGTTTCTGAGTAAAAAGATAGAAAGTGGCCATCATGATCCAAGTCTTCATAGTAGGTAACAAATAACAAATTTGCTTTCCTGAAACTTATATTGTGTTTACTTTATAGAATAGCTGAAACTTTTGGATTTCAAGAAAATTACATCAAGATCGTAATAAATAAGAAACAGCTTCAACTAGGTATGTCATAGCAAAGAATGCATCTGATATATAAGTAGTTCCTTTCCATTTTTTTGTATTTTTTTTCTTGCTTTTCCTCTATTGAAAATTTCTTGGCCTTGTTGCATTTATTATCCAAAATCAATTACGTTAAAAGTTTACCATAATGAAAATGTAAAGCAGAAAAGAACATTCTAGTAAATATTCACTGGCTTACTCTGGCTAGTGGGGAAGAAAGACATTCATTTCAATGACACAGAATGTTCCAGAATGAAAGTCTGTACTGAGAGGAGGGTCTGGGTTACTCAGAGTTCTCTCTGGGAAGAGAGATGACCCTGAGAGGGACAGATGGACAAGGCCATATTGGAGCACTCCACTAACAGCCAAGAGAGCTGAATGTGGGGTGGAGGCCCTTTTGACTGTGGAGAGCAAACGGACCTGTGAGTCTTTTAGCAGTGAATCTCAGCCAGGGAAAATTTCACCATCCAGGGTACAGTTGACTTGGTGAGGAGAC